ACCTACCAAGCTCTCGAAGTTGTCTCATTATGGGTCTCCTACTGCAGCATATTTAAACTTGGTATTGAAATGAAGTTCTCAATGATCAGACATATTTAAAATCCAACGAGGGATATGGTTTTTTAATTGACATTTTCAGTATTTTGGCAGAGTAGAAACTATTGAAGTTGTTTTTAAAGATTCATTCTTTGTGTCTACAGCTACACCCAGGCATAATACCATAAAGAACATTTTCTGTGCACAGTAAATGAAGGTCACTATGAAACCTTGGCCTCAGCCATAGTTCATTTGCAACTGAATCCTAATTGGAATCCTGTATCTCTTACTTAGACCTCCTACCTCATGCACATCTTCCTGAATCGTGGTATTCCCTGCTCATAAAGAATAAAGGTTTTGTCTGTATTGGTCAGCATACTACCACTGTCTACTCTTGACTATTGAGGGGAGGGCCTTTGACCAGACTGGCTCCATCTTCAGCAGCATCCCGATGATTCTCTACTCTCCTAAGCTAGACTTTTATCTTTTCCCCTCTTTCTCATTATCAAAGAATCTAGTAGATATTCACAAATGCTTTATGCTTTAAATCAGTTTGGCCATTAAATAGCTACTTCATTCATCTAATCATTTTATTCATTCATTCAACAAATATATGTGAAACCTCTATACTTTGCCTAGTACTTTTTTGTCCACACTTAGGTTACTGATTCCTAGGTATCTTTCTTAGTTATATTATAAGATACCTGTTTTACAGAATGTATGATTTTTTTGGAGCACTCATCAAAAATATTTTTTTAAAAAGCCTTTCCATATTCCTGTTGTGACTTATTAGTTTAGGTACTAAGATTTAGAAACATTTCCCAAAAGGAAAGAATAAAGATGAGCAGACTGATTAACTGAGAGATGCACAGTGACAGAGGAGAGCTGGCAGACGGAGTGCTCAGCAGGCTTTGAGATTTAATGAAAGGAAATTCTATAGGAAAGCTGATTGTTTAACATCAGAGATTATTTAAGAAGATTTAGTCCTTCTCTTATGAAAAGACTCTCAGGGATATTGCACATATAGGTACAATCTCTCATAGTACCTGGTGAGAATATCTTATTATCCTGTTACAATCACAAAGGCCTCTACAGAAAGAGTTCCTACAGGAGTGAGTGTAAACTATGAACAATTAGAAAATTAATGTATCGGGTCAGTTTTAGTTTTGGAGTTTGGTTTTTGGAAATTATTCATAGTAGTAGAAAAATAAAATAAATGGTAAATTGTGGAATGGTTTGTTCGGTTACCCTTTAGAAGGTTGTTGCATTTGGCGTCCTGTTAGCATCAGTCTGTGGTTGCCTCGACCTTCATATAAGAAATCTTAGAGGTCAGAAATTAAGAGAATAGCACCTTCATTCACATTTTCTATGCACCCTTTTCCCTCAGGGATACCAATCAGACTTCTTTATCCAAAACTAAGGCTAATACAGTTTAGCGCAGAGGTGGTATTTATAAACATCCCTACAGAGCTAGCCTTGCAGAAAGTAATATTTAACATACCTCAACCAGTGGATTTACTCAGCATCTAGAATAAAGTTTATATTGAATTTCATTGACCCAAATATTGTTTAATGAAAAAATGGCAAGACTATTCTAGAAATTGAAACTTCCCCAGAAGTTGCTGTGTATCTTGCTATCATAGGTCACTAGGGCACCCTGAAGTAACTAAAGAGGGGTATTCAATGGCATTGCTGCTGTCACCATCCTCTCCTTGCTGCCCTCTGTCAAAGCTGCTGTCAAGATGACCTCCTTAAGGTAGCCATGGGGACCAAGTACTCAGGAAAGAGTGAAGGGAAGGTATTTTAGCTAGGTGGGATGTTTTATTATTTTTTTGTAAGAACAAGAGAACTGATTATTAGATCTTGTGAAAGGAAGCAGTGGGGCTGTAAGATAGCTCAGCAGACTAAGCGCCTGCTTAGACAAGCACAGAGACTGGGGTTCGATCCCTGGCATCACATGCTACGCCAGCCCCATCCGTTGGCACACTGAGCCGGCCACTGAGACTGGGAGTGGTGTCGTACACCTGTAATCCCAGCACTGGGGAGGCTGAAACGGGAGGATGACTACAAGTCGGAGCTGCATAGTGAGACCCTGTACCAAATGCATAAAATAAAAAGAAAGGAAGCCACAAAGATGCGAAGAAGCTATCTGCTTGCATCAGCAAGTCCTTGAAGTTGACAGCAGAATATAAAAACAACTGAATATGCCAACAGTGATTCCTTCTTTGTGTGTGTGTGTGTGTGTGTGTGTGTGTGTGTGTGTGTTTCATAAAACAGTGACCTTTATTTTCAGACTGACAAAAGAGAAATATGTATTTTATAGAATGATTAAAATACACAATATTTTATTACTTAGAGTTTCACTTTTTAATCCTAAATCCCCTTTCAAGAAACAGTTTTCACTGGTGTACCTAGATTTTTACATTTATTTGACATCCTTTTTAAGAGGTTTTAGCCTCACTTATTTGTTCAGGATGCTACAATTATGACAACCATTTAAAGAAATGGTTGCCATGTTGTTTAATATGTCTATTTACTGTTCTATCCTAAATCCTACTGTTTGAATTTCAATAAGGCTGTTCCATAATTATTTATTTTTGTCTAAAAAGGGCTCCATTTTTCTATAGACTAGAAAATTACAACTTGGGAAAAGTGACAGTTGTCTTGGTTGGTAGTGCTGTATCTTTATTTATAGCACCTATGTGTTAAGAAACAGGCAGAAATGACTGATTTTGTTTTTCCTTTCAGCGGTTTACCTTTGCAAGAGAACAATGCAAAACAAAGCAAGACTAGAGCTAGCGGATTACGAAGCTGTAAGTACCAAGGACTTTCTGGCCAAGAAAGGTACAAAATGAAAGGCAGGAGGTCTCTGGCTACCTCTGGACGTGCTCTCCATTAACCTTCTGCATTTATGAATCATAGGGACCAATATCCATGGACCAGGCAGCACAATGGCTTAGAAAGTCCTTGTGTGCTCCTTTGCCCTCTTCATTCATATAGAGGATGGTGAAATTCTAAAGATGCCTTCTCACTATGTGAGGGAAAAGCATGTCTTATTTTCTGAAATTGATTTAACTGTGAAGAATTCAGGTAAATGTGCCAGTGGCCAGGTGTGGTGGAACACTCCTGTCATCCCAGCTACTAAGGAGGCTGAAGCAATAGGATCACAGGTTTGAGTCTAGCCTGGGCAATTTAGCAAGACTCTGTCACAGCATAAAAAAATGAAAAGGGCTGGGTATGTGACTCAGTGTCAGAGTGCCTTGTGTTTGCTAACCAGGACCACAGGCATTCGCAAAAAGGAAATATCCAAAAAATGAGAATAAAATCATTTTCACCATGTGAACATGGCTTTTGCTAAACCTTCAGGTTGGCCCCCATGGGCAAGTGAAACACTTAGGGGTAATTCGGACAAATGGTTACTATGCTGTGGTTTGCTGAATTCAAACCAGACAGGGCTACAAAAGGTTTACATTTATTGCTGAGACCGGAGTTCGCTGATGGAATCATCAGTATGAATGCATCGTTTTCCTGTTCCTCCATGAGGTAGGCACAGAAAAATACCGGAGGTTGGCCTTCAGCATTTTTCTCATATAAGGGAACTTAAATATTTAGCACATACTGGATTTAATATTTGAGTACACCCTGGATTTTAGTTGTGTTTTCTAAGGTAAGTCATTCACAAAAATTAATATGTTATTTGTTTGTATTCCAAGACTAGTATATCAGTCACCTCACCCACTGCAGGAACCAAAACCAAGATATATAGAATTTAAAGGAAGAGCAATTTATTTTTTTATTCAGAATTCAGAGGATATACTTCATGGTCTACTGATTGCAAAACATGCAGTGGTGAACAGATAATAGTAGAGAAAAACTGCCTAGTTCTTGACAGTCTGGAAGCCCAGTGGGTGCGTGGGGGGACAGTGCCAGAGAGGAAGGAGCCAGGGACTGGACACAGTGTTCAAGGCCGCACCTCTGTGACCCGCCTAGAAACACCCAGTGAGTTTTCTAATCTCTCAGCTTTTCAGCCAGTTAGGTTGACATTCTAGTTTACTGTCAACCACTGACATAGCTGAATTATTGAGCATCTTTGTCATTTAGAACCAAACTCCTCATACTACATTAAACATTCTGTGTTTGTCTTCTTTACAAGTGCACTTGGTGAAGAAGCTAGGGGACTCGAGTTAAGACAGCACTGCAATGTCTTCACCTGTGGCTTGTGTTTCAGGAGAGCCTGGCCAGGCTGCAGAGAGCTTTTGCCCGGAAGTGGGAGTTCATTTTTATGCAAGCGGAAGCTCAAGCAAAGTGAGTCCTTGTGAGTCTTGGAAGAATTGTTCATGTTGTGGCCTTTTGTCCAAGGTGACATTCCACTTAACACTACTTATTCTTGGTTGTTATGATGTTGACAGAGTGGACAAGAAGAGAGACAAAATCGAAAGGAAGATCCTCGACAGCCAAGAGAGAGCATTCTGGGATGTGCACAGACCTGTGGTGAGCAAACACACCCACGTTCTCCAGAGCCCCTGCTCCCCACTGTGCCGGGGAGGGTGTCCCATGAGAGAAGGGGAAGGCTGGGATTCTCCGTGGTATATCACTTGCCCAGAGTTTTGGCATTTGAAGTTCTTGATGCTTCACAGGAAAAATACTACAATCAAGCTGGGTTTTTTAATGGTTTACTGTTTGCATTTTTTGGCTATATAGTGAGTAGGTAAAGTGAATGTTATCTTAAAAAAAAAAATTATAATAGTCACCTATTGGTGACTTTCACAGACTAGCCTTTTAAGTGGTTTTGAATTCAAATCTCTTTTAATGTTGTAGCACCAGATTTGAGTATAATAACTTATTTTTTCTTCCTTGATAATGTTACATTGTTTGTCTGTATGTAACAGTTCGTATCAGAAAACTGTTGGACTACTAACCCATAGTTATGCACATCTATAAAGTAGCATGGCTAATCTCATTCATTTATTTCTGTTTTGATGCAATGTCATTTTCTTCTATCAATTTTAAATATAGATAAGGTAGTAGATAAGAATAAACAATAAGTTTATAAAGTGTGAGACCAATCAAGAAAAATCACTTAAGGATACCTACAAATTTCCTGTGAACTACCTTCAGAGTGAGACAAAAATAGAAAGACTCCAAAGGTTTGTGATATATATGCAGACAGAATTGAGCACTAACTGGATTTTCTACTCAAAATTCAGTTTGAGTTTTATTACTCATTTTAAAAAGATTATGAAGTTGCACACTGCTTTTGCATGAATATGAAGTAGGATTTTTATGTGTGTGTTTTCTTTAAGCAGCCTCTAGAAACCAGTCGACGCACCATGTTGCCATTTATAGCCATATTGTGTGTCCTGCGTAGCTGGTGGCCCTCTGTAGCCTCTCTGGCCTTCCATGGCCTGGGCCTTCCTGGTAAGCTAAAAGGACCCTACCTCGTCGGCTCCCCTGGCTGCCCCTTGCCAGTACATACTGAAGCTTTCAGAGTGTGAAACCTGGGCGTGACTCTCTGTCCTTTGCCCAAGCCTGTGTGCACTGCTGACAGAGGTGGAAGCTGCCGACCCTGTGCTGTTTCTCTCTAGAGGGGATTAGGCTCCTGTCCCTCCCTCCTTTCCTGCCATCAGCAGGGAGCACTGCGAGTGTCCTCCAAGTCCCAACCATGTCCCTTACAAGGCTTCCAAGTGGGAGGTCAGCCTAAGGGAGTCTATCGTCAGAAGCCACCTGAGAGCCATTAGTTGCTTCTCCCTCACTCAACTTGAAGATGCTTATGAGGAGCCTTAGGTCATCTAACATGGAGAAACCATGCAAAACTATGTGGATCATTTTGTCTGTGTGCCTTTGGAATTCACTTAAATCAGTGCTACCTTCGGCCATTTATTTTTCTTACACTACAACTCTTTTCCTTACTGTAGAAGCTTTACCTTCTGGCAGATTTAAAGTTTAAACATTTTAAACAGTGGTCTCAGCACTCAGGAGCCCAAGGCAGAAGGATCTCTGTGAGTTCAAGGGTAGCCTGAACTGCATTGCAAGTCCCTTTCTCAAAAAAAAAAGACCAAAAGAAAGTGGTCTCAGATGTTTGTGAAATTCCAGCACTTGTCTGATGGCTGTTTCTGCCACACAGTTCTTTATTTTGCTTTTGGCCTTCTGGGTCCTGAGTAAGGACCTCTTCGTGAGGTAAATGATAAAGACGGGGCGCTTCGGTCTCAACAATCTTTGAGCAGCTCTTTCCTCAGCCAAATGCATAAAGTATATCTCTCTTCATTGCAGTCAATGAATAAACAATAACTATTTTCTAACATAATTCCACAAAATAGAAGTGACATAGGAAAAATTGGGAATATTTGTGGTATTTCCCAAGTGTCATGCATTATGTTCATTTCTAGAAATGCATTCTGCAGCTGTTGTAATCAATCCTAAATAAATATGTTGAGACCTGAAATCCTATACTGCGATGTTAAATTGGGGTAAGAGTTCCCATAGCTGAGTTTTTTCTTTATAGCCAGTCCTGCTGTGGCAGTCACTGAAAGAATCTTTCTGTCCTGGTTTGTCATCTTGTTAAATTTAAATATCTTCTAGACAGGCTCAGTGAAACCAGGTTTTGCAGTCTCATGCCAAATTATTTCAATCTGAGAATTGTAGAACCCTAGACTAGATGCAGGAAACTACAAGACAGGGTCTGCTGTCCTGAGCCTGAGCCTGGGAGGGCCTGGGGCCACTGTTGCACACCACCCTCCCTGTGGAGCATGGAGGCAGCCCCCTGGTGTCATCTTCAGCTTTCATCAGATCAGACAAAGGCTCATAGCTACAGCAGGCGGGAGAACTGCAACAGAGTGGGAAGCAGTGGATTTTACAGCCAGGAAGGTTATCTACTAGGCCCAACTGTATACTGTAATTATCTATCTGGTGAGATTTAGAAGCCTCATTTAGAAAATGAAAATATGCCTTCTGTTACCTTGTTATGAACATTCAATAAGATTGGATGTAGAAAAGCAGCTGGCATATTATTTGGCATGTGGATAGCAAATGTCTACTTCCTTTTTGAAGGAATGCATCCAGCATCCTCAAAATGGGTAGTACAAGGAAAATGGCATCTACACAGATACACCCACATGGAATCAATTTCAAAAATGTTTTACATCAAGCAGAATGCAATCAAGCTGAATTGCAACCTTCCTTTATACGCAGAGGTCTCAACAAAAATAATTCCTTTTGCCGCTTCCCTGCCTCAAGCCTGATAATTCTGTTCTTTCTTTTTGGGGGTACCTTGTGTGAAATAGGCTGAGTTGACCTAAGACTGAGTGCTGATGGCTAATCTATTGGTTCGTTCTTTCTGTCTCTGTCTCTGTCTCTGTCTCTGTCTCTGTCTCTCTCTCTCTCTCTCTCTCT